AAAATCACTATGATTGGCAACTCGGGAAAAAATATAAGCAAGGAGCAGGCTCCTGAATGTTACAACATGTGGTAAGGACAGGCAGTTCATATTTGATGGACAAATGCCACATGGACATCCGAGAAGGGATCTGAGGGCTCTGTAAGTGACAGTGCTAACCAACTTTATTTTCTAAATTGGGCATGATGGCTCACACTTGTAATCCAAGCACTTTTGAGGGTGATACACGAGAACTACCTAGAGATTAAGGTCAGGCCTGGGCAACACAGTTGAGTCCCAGGCCAGTCTGCATTATAGAGTGAGACCCTTATGTAAAACACAGAAACTGCCAAAACAAAGGCTAGGTGAGATGACACTGGCTGTGATCCGGCATTTGGGAGGTAAACAGAAGAGGTCAGAAGTTCTCGATCATCCACTACTACAGAGTTGGAGTTTGAGGCGAGCCAGGACCATATAAGACCCTGTATCAGAAAACAAGGGGTTGTGGGAGTAAGGCCTGATCTTTTTTTTTTTTAAGATTTTATTTATTATGCATACAACATTCTGCACACCAGAAGAGGGCACCAGCTCTCATAATGGATGGTTGTGAGCCACCATGTGGTTGCTTTGAATTGAACTCAGGACCTCTGGAAGAAAAATTGGCGCTCTTCTGAGCCATCTCTCCAGCTCGAAAGGCCTGATCTTAAAAAGTTTGGTTTTCATTGTATTTATCATACGATGGTCTGTTACAATTAGCACAATTTTAAAGGTGGTTACTGTTCAGAAGTTAAATGAGGAGCTAAATTTCATCAGTGCTGACAATACTACAAGCTCTAGTAACATTTTATGTTTAAAATAGATTTTCATGTGTAGTTAACAGAAGACATGGAATCTGGAGCCATTTGGACTTGATTCTAGTTTAAGCTTTAACACTGTTCTGAATATAACTCTTTATTTTCTTTGGAATAAATACTCTTGTAGTTCAACTTGGAAAATTGCTTCAAAAAAAAAAAAAATCTTCCCGGTTCCCCCTAGCAACCTATCTCCTCTACTGGAGGTAAACCAAGTTGAAACAGATACTCTTGCAGAGGTTGTGTGTATATACAATGCAAGCAAAATGTACATATTGAAAGACCCTCGGACCGAGGAGTCTCTACAAATTGGACGATCCCCCCAAAAACACTCAATGTCCAGTCCAGCTGATGCAAAAAACAAGAGGTAAGTTTATTATGGGACGTTTGCGCAAACGGGCTTCCCAGTCCGACAGACAAAGAAGAAGCCCTGTTCCTCTAAAGCAGGCTCCTTTTATAAGAGAAAAAACCATAGGATTTTAGGGGTTTGGGTACGTGACCAGAGTCACAGATCCTTTGGAGATCTCTTATCTTTGGGGCCGGATGGTCTCCTGGCTCAGTGGGATAGTCTGTTTCTATCTTCATGACCCTAGGGCAGGGTGGCCCTCTAGGAATTCTTGGTATTCAGTTAGGTTGTCTTGTGGCCTTGTAAGGGAGTTATATCTGCCAGCTAAGAAATTCCAGGGGCTTGGGTCATTGTGACCTTGGTTAGGTTTTAAGTCAGGTCTCCCTGTTCTTAGGGTGAGAGGATTGTTTTTCTTCTTAGTTATTTCTTTGTTAATTCTAAAGTCCTTCATTTCCCCCTTTTTTTTTTTTTTAGGTAACCCATTCTTGGGTTATTAGTGGACAATTTTATATAGCATTTTGACCAGGTAAATGGGCGGCGTCTGTCTCATACTACTTCCTGCTGACTTTGGGGCGTCGTTAGGGGTCTAAAAAATGAAATGTTAGTCAAAAGAAAAGGGGATTTAGGCAGTGGAGAGGCAGCTGGTTGAAGAGTCGGGAGTGTCCGCAGCAGCACGACTGGTTTATAGTCTGGGCCTCATGGTCCTTAGGAGCAGGCTGTAGTCAG